TTTCCCGGCTGCAGACAGAGTTAACAAAGAGTCAAATCAAAACCCACTAATCTTCTAAATAAATTTTTAAATGAAATTTGGCAACATGTTACATGCAATCTAGGATTTTACCATTTCCTAATTTCACCAAAGAACATGCTCCTACGACCATCTAATTGTGAAGGAAAAAACAATAAGGAACATGTTTTTGATATGCATTTTATATTACCTGAATTTGATACGGCGAATTTGCCTGGTCCCATTAGCTGACCTCTTCACAGTGATTGACACTCCAGGATCATCCTGCTCAACCCATTCAGCATCCATGTCATTGTCAGTAGGGTTGTTAGCCCTTGATATCCCACCATGGAAATACCCCATATTCCCAGCGGGTGCATGGAAATTCCCCGGAGTCGAATCCATGTTCAGCATTGAAGCCATTGGGATATCTTGTTCAGATTCCCCCGAGTTCTGTTCAAAGGCAATAGTAATGTACATGAATGAATCTCGAGAATCCAATAGAGAGCTCTTATTTATGTCAACCTCTTCTCACGATATAGTGATAAACATGAATTGAAGTATCATGAAAAATAACATGGTCGATGAAATAGAGTCTTAACTCTTAACAACATCATATGTGTGTAAAAGTTGTAGATTACCTCATCATCACCAGACCTTGCAGGAGTGTTGAAAACATGTTGAGTTAAATTCTGGATATTATGAAGCTCCCTGATTCTGTCGTAATTCTCAGCCCACAACCTCTGGGCTCGCGGCTTATCAAACATGTCTCGGCTTCAAATTTAAATGCCAAGTATTATAAGTCTTTTTTTTTTTGAATAACAAGTATTGTAAGTCTTTATTACTACATGATAATTAATTTTTTTTTCAACAACTAAAATTCTGATATATATATATATATATATATATATATTTGAAGGTCTCTAAGGTACTACATATATTTTCAAAACTTGGGACATATTATACATACCAGAAGCGAATCCTTTTGAGATCATTGCCCCCAGTAGGAAGAGACACAACGGTGATGTGAGCACCTGGCTCCATCTTTGCTATCCACTTGTTGGATCCAGTCATGTCCACCATCGCTACACTACCAGCTGGTGGTTGAGGTTGACGCCCTCCAGGGGTGGTGTTACCAATTGGGGATTGATTGGGGTTTGTGTAGTCCAAAGCAGGGGTTGAACTTGCGCTTCCACCACCAATGTAGCCGTATGGAACCTCTTCAGAAACGGTGTCATACTTGATGCTCTTGGGGTTGCCAGCTTTGATTTTCTTCCCTGAAAGCTTCAGCACCAGATCCTTAATCTGCATATGCAGAATAAAAATTCAAATTAGCATCAATGCATTTAAAAGTCTTAATCATGTACCATACAATTAATACATACCATGGAGTCTTAAGGTTTCAGGCTTAGGTCATTTTCAAAGCATCATACAATACCTTTACAGCTGGGCTAGTGGAGAATGTACTTGGTAGAGAATACATGCAAGTGGATGACAACAACATCCTTGAACGTGAAAGTCTATATATGTATATATCCTACTATCAACTATGTACCCCCAATGGAAAGCATTTTCTATTTGTAGAAATCTCCAGTAATTTCTATCCAAATATTACTTGTCCAATTTTTCACACAATTTAGAAACATTTGGTTCGAAATAGTTAGGAGAGGCATCATAAGGAAGAAGGAAGAGCATGAAGAAGAAGGTAAACTAATAAGCAAATATAAAGGAAGCAAAATAAAGAAGAAGGTAAACATTTGGTTTGATTTTGTTTGTTTTAACCAAGATGGAAAAAGAAGATGAAAAAAACAATGTTTGTTGAGAGAGGGGGAGAGAGTATTAAGGACCTGCGACGTCAGACCCTTGACGGCTTCTTTTGTGTTCGGCGTGCCGTTCCCACGGTCATCTTCATCCCCATCAACGGGGGTTGGCTTGGCACACGGATTCATGAACAAAAACATCTTCGCTAAAAAGCTCATCTTATCTTGAACAACAACAAAACAAGCAAACATTTATGGTTAGATTCCAGAGAATGAAAGAGTGTCTGTCAACAGTTGAGAATGGGAATGACATATAGAGAAGAAATGAACCATATCAATATATGTCATTGGTTCTGAATGGATAATAGAACAAAATAAAAATAATAATAAAAGTCATTGAAGGATGAAGTTAAGGTTATCACTTTCATTGAATGAAACAGTGACAGGAAATGGCCATTTACGGTAAACAAAAGCAATGATTAGGTTACAGGGAAAGCGCCGAAATAAAGACCACACAGATGCAGCAATTGAGTTACAATGCAACTAATGAATAACAATGCTCCAAAAAACAACATCTTTCACGTGAAACAAAATGGTCCTAAGATAACTGTAACACCCCAAATTTCTAACAATTTATAAAACAATCTTATAATAAATAAATTGTCAAAATTCTTTTTTTTTTTACAATTATAATAATAGAAATATTGCGAAAGCTAATCTAAATCTAATTTGGGGAATGTTACCGCCGCACCTGTACAATGGACAGGTGCAAGGCTAAATTTATTACATTAAAATAAAACCAAAGACTAAAGTTTAAATAAAGGAAATATGTCTTATGCATTTATTTAAATCTCATAAATTTCTAACTAAAGATTAGGATACACACAATAAAACATATAACTACCTAAAGATTAGGATACACACAATAAAATTTCATACACAACGAATCTACAACCACCTAGAGATTAGGATTACCTGGTCTCCGTGTTTGGTGACTTCTACAACTTGGGGAAGAGAAGCGGTTGGTAACCAAAGAAAGATAATAATAAAAATAAAAATTTAAAGTGAGGAGAGAGAAAGAGAAAGTGTAGAGGAGAAGAAGAGTGGTGGAGAATTATTGAGGATTCAGAGTGAATTGGTTTGGTTAGGTTAGGTCTCTATTTATAGTTGAAGTTTTGGGCTCGGATATGGGTTTCGTGCATTTATTTCCTTTTTCTTTATTGATGTATTTGGCTCAGATTTTGGCTTTATACACTATTGACTCAATGCTGACTCATCATATCTAAACAATTTATGTTTGTTGACTCATCTTATCTAAATCATCAATCAAACATTAATACATAAATCATCAATCAAACATTAATACATAAATCATCAATCAAACATTAATACATAAATCATCAATCCATTAATAAATCAATTAATCATGATTTATAATCTAATTTATATATATATATATAATTTTTTTTTCACATAAATCAAATAATATTACTATTATTATTATCTTACCTCTTATTATTTTAACTATTATTAACTCATTAATTAAAAATATTAAATACCAATATTATTAATTACAAAAATACTAAATATCATTATTATCCAAAAAATTTATTATTATATTATTATTATTATTTTATTAAAAGAAAATATGGGGTATTACAATAACTCTTATAAAACCCCCTGTGAAAACCCTCCAACTCAGCCACATTGTAACTGCCATAAAAAGACAAAATACTCTGCTCGGAAAAAGAGAGAGAGAGAGAGAGAGGATGGAGGTGCGCTTACATATTTTTGACATTTTTGAAGCGAGAAATATACGGTTACAGAAAAGACAAGGATAGCGAGGCAGCGTTTTGAGGTTGTGGTACTTTAACTCCAAGGGGTAGTGGGGTTGGTGACAGAATTGAATTTGGAAATAGAAACTTCTCATCCAGCTTGTGTTTTGCTGCTTGTTATGATGTCATCCTTGGATGTTAATTGTGATACAGATCAAAAATTCTTGCAATCACATGATATTCTTCCTGATTCTTCTCCTTGATTCCATGCATGGATGGACAGATAACTATTTTCCTGAGTATCTAATATAATTTTAATGAAAGAAATTGCCAATATTATCAACTGTTTCTCTTACACTTGATTTAAGTCATTTAACTTTTTTTATTAAAAAAAATTATTTAACTTTTGGCTTTAGTTATAAACTTTTAAGGGGTTTATAAATTTTATGTTACTGCTCCAAAAATTATTTTGCAGCTGAGACAATAAAATATAAGGGCCACAATTTTTTTTTCTCTTTTTTATTATCTCGAGCGCTGTGCGTATCGACCCGTGCAATACTATAGCTAACGAGTTCTACAAATTTTGTGTTAATGCAGCAACAAAAAATTTATAAGCCCCAATTTTTAATAAAAAAATAACATGGCATCAAAATTTTGAATTTACTTTTTATGGTAAGCTAGCATTAAATATATATATATATATATATATATATATATATATATTTAAATTTTAGATACTTTAAAAATTTGATTGCAGTCATTAGAATCAATTTATTAATCGATTAAAGAGGGACAGATTAATAGATAGTTTTGAATGAGGGGAAAATGGTTATTAATTAATTAATTAAGGGTAAAAGGGTCAAAAAGCCTAATTTTTCCCATAGGGTACACAATTTTAATATGTATATATAATCTTTTAAATTTTTTAAATATTTTATGCAAACATGACTGCAGTGATATCACGAGTTAAACGAAGTAATATTTTTTATAATGCTTATTATGTCTGAAATATATATATATATATATATATATATATATATATATATAATTTTTTTTTTATAACAGAAATATATTTTTTTAAGTTTTAAGAAGGATCTCTAAGGATTTAGGGAAAAGATTACGTATCATTCATCAACATATAGGGTTTTCACAAGCTTGCGCTGATAAACCACACAAGGAAAATATATATTATAAAAGAGCAAGCTGGTCTTAAATAACCAAACTTACCAAATGTTCAACCAAAGATAAATCAACAGCAATATACCCCACAGTAATTGGAGTAAATAGAGAACCACAAACTTAAACTTACGAAACAGTACCAACTATAACATATTAAGAGACCATCACCAAGACTACACTCCATATACTGGAGTGAACAACAACAAGAAGAAGATAACAATGTATAGGAAAGAAAAGTTGAAAATTCCAGCAGTTTAGAACATCCACTTTTCTTCACAGCAACAAGGCTTCACATATACTGAGCATGAACTCGAACCCTGTTGCGCAGCCACCAATCCTTGGCTGCATCTGCATCAAAAATTTCCCGGCTGCAGACAGAGTTAAGAAAGAGTCAAATCAAAACCCAGTAATCTTCTAAATAAATTTTTAAATGAAATTTGGCAACATGTTACATGCAATCTAGGATTTTACCATTTCCTAATTTCACCAAAGAACATGCTCCTACGACCAGCTAATTGTGAAGGAAAAAACAATAAGGAACATGTTTTTGATATGCATTTTATATTACCTGAATTTGATACGGCGAATTTGCCTGGTCCCATTAGCTGACCTCTTCACAGTGATTGACACTCCAGGATCATCCTGCTCAACCCATTCAGCATCCATGTCATTGTCAGTAGGGTTGTTAGCCCTTGATATTCCACCATGGAAATACCCCATATTCCCAGCGGGTGCATGGAAATTCCCCGGAGTCGAATCCGTGTTCAGCATTGAAGCCATTGGGATATCTTGTTCAGATTCCCCCGAGTTCTGTTCAAAGGCAATAGTAATGTACATGAATGAATCTCGAGAATCCAAGAGAGAGCTCTTATTTATGTCAACCTCTTCTCACGATATAGTGATAAACATGAATTGAAGTATCATGAAAAATAACAAGGTCGATGAAACAGAGTCTTAACTCTTAACAACATCATATGCGTGTAAAAGTTGTAGATTACCTCATTATCATGAGACCTTGCAGGAGTGATGAAAACACGTTGATTTAAAGTCTGTATATTAAGAAGCTCCCTGATCATGTCGCAATTCTCAGCCCACCACCTCTGGGCTCGCGACTTATCAAACATGATAATTAAATTTTTTTTCAACAACTAAAATTCTCATATATATATATATATATATATATATATATTTGAAGGTCTCTAAGGTACTACATATATTTTCAAAACTTGGGACATATTATACATACCAGAAGCGAATCCTTTTGAGATCATTGCCCCCAGTAGGAAGAGACACAACGGTGATGTGAACACCTGGCTCCATCTGTGCTATCCACTCGTTGGATCCAGTCATGTCCACCAATGCTACACTACCAGCTGGTGGTTGAGGTTGACGCCCTCCAGGGGTGGTGTTACCAATTGGGGATTGATTGGGGTTTGTGTAGTCCAAAGCAGGGGTTGAACTTGCGCTTCCACCACCAATGTAGCCGTGTGGAACCCCCCTTAAGAAACGGTGTCATACTTGATGCTCTCGGAGGTGCCACCTTTGATTTTCTTCCCTGAAAGCTTCAGCGCCAGATCCTTAATCTGCATATGCAGAATAAAAATTCAAATTAGCATCAATGCATTTAAAAGTTTTAATCATGTACCATACAATTAATACATACCATGGAGTCTTAAGGTTTCAGGCTTGGGTCATTTTCAAAGCATCATACAATACCTTTAAAGCTGGGCTAGTGGAGAATGTACTTGGTAGAGAATACATGCAAGTGGATGACAACAACATCCTTGAACGTGAAAGTCTATATATGTATATATCCTACTATCGACTATGTACCCCCAATGGAAAGGATTTTCTATTTGTAGAAATCCCCAGTAATATCTATCCAAATATTATTTGTCCAATTTTTCACACAATTTAGAAACATTTGGTTCGAAATAGTTAGGAGAGGCATCATAAGGAAGAAGGAAGAGCATGAAGAAGAAGGAAAACTAATAAGAAAATATAAAAGAAGCAAAATAAAGAGGCTCGTGGATAATGGAATAATGGTTTAAAAACAAATAGTTGCTTATAAAAATAAACATGCTTATGCCATAAATGCAATCCATACCTGGCCACACCAACTATATACTTTCCTGCCATACTAAATCATATAATTTGCATCGACACATAATAGAAAACTTTTGAAAAACAGGATAATGATGGTAAGTGAATAATCTCATGTGCAATTATAAGTGGCTAAAAAGAGAAGAGTCGTAAGAACCCACTTGAAAAGTTGGTTCCCTAATTTATAACTATAAAAAGAACAAAGGGATTAGGACCGGCTTGATTGGTTGATCATGATGGTCACTTCAGGTCAGAACCACGGAACCACCTCATGCATATAAATAAACCAATAAATGGACCAATCCAATCCGTGAGAGGAAGTGGACCATCCTTTTACACAAAAAAGTAGACAAAACACAACACACACATAGTTACGTCATCCTAAACCAAAATAATCCCCGCCTAGATAACAAGGCATCCGTATGATGTATATTTTATATAAAAAAACATCATATCAGTGTGTGTATGTAGGCTATATGTAGGTCTACGTGTGTGTGTAAAAGTTGTAGATTACCTCATCATCATCAGACCTTGCAGGAGTGTTGAAAACATGTTGATTTAAATTCTGGATATTATGAAGCTCCCTGATCCTGTCGTAATTCTCAGCCCACAACCTCTGGGCTCGCGGCTTATAAAACATGTCTCGGCTTCAAATTTAAATGCCAAGTATTATAAGTCTTTTTTTTTTTTAATAACAAGTATTGTAAGTCTTTATTACTACATGATAATTAATTTTTTTTTTCAACAACTAAAATTCTCATATATATATATATATATATATATGAAGGTCTCTAAGGTACTACATATATTTTCAAAACTTGGGACATATTATACATACCAGAAGCGAATCCTTTTGAGATCATTGCCCCAGTAGGAAGAGACACAACGGTGATGTGAGCACCTGGCTCCATCTTTGCTATCCACTTGTTGGATCCAGTCATGTCCACCATCACTACACTACCAGCTGGTGGTTGAGGTTGACGCCCTTCAGGGGTGGTGTTACCAATTGGGGATTGATTGGGGTTTGTGTAGTCCAAAGCAGGGGTTGAACTTGCGCTTCCACCACCAATGTAGCCGTATGGAACCCCCTCTTCAGAAACGGTGTTATACTTGATGCTCTTGGGGTTGCCAGCTTTGATTTTCTTCCCTGAAAGCTTCAGCGCCAGATCCTTAATCTGCATATGCAGAATAAAAATTCAAATTAGCATCAATGCATTTAAAAGTCTTAATCATGTACCATACAATTAATACATACCACGGAGTCTTAAGGTTTCAGGCTTAGGTCATTTTCAAAGCATCATACAATACCTTTACAGCTGGGCTAGTGGAGAATGAACTTGGTAGAGAATACATGCAAGTGGATGACAACAACATCCTTGAACGTGAAAGTCTATATATGTATATATCCTACTATCAACTATGTACCCCCAATGGAAAGCATTTTTTATTTGTAGAAATCTGCAGTAATTTCTATCCAAATATTACTTGTCCAATTTTTCACACAATTTAGAAACATTTGGTTCGAAATAGTTAGGAGAGGCATCATAAGGAAGAAGGAAGAGCATGAAGAAGAAGGTAAACTAATAAGCAAATATAAAGGAAGCAAAATAAAGAAGAAGGTAAACATTTGGTTTGATTTTGTTTGTTATAACCAAGATAGAAAAAGAAGATGAAAAAAACAATGTTTGTTGAGAGAGATGGAGAGAGTATTAAGGACCTGCGATGTCAGACCCTTGACGGCTTCTTTTGTGTTCGGCGTGCCGTTCCCACGGTCATCTTCATCCCCATCAACGGGGGTTGGCTTGGCACACAGATTCATGAACAAAAACATCTTCGCTAAAAAGCTCATCTTATCTTGAACAACAACAAAACAAGCAAACATTTATGGTTAGATTCCAGAGAATGAAAGAGTGTCTGTGAACAGTTGAGAATGGGAATGACATATAGAGAAGAAATGAACCATATCAATATATGTCAATGGTTCTGAATGGATAATAGAACAAAATAAAAATAATAATAATAGTCATTGAAGGATGAAATTAAGGTTATCACTTTCATTGAATGAAACAGTGATAGGAAATGGCCATTTACGGTAAACAAAAGCAATGATTAGGTTACAGGGAAAGCGTCGAAACAAAGACCACACAGATGCAGCAATTGAGTTACAATGCAACTAATGAATAACAATGCTCCAAAAAACAACATCTTTCACGTGAAACAAAATGGTCTTAAGATAACTGTAACACCCCAAATTTCTAACAATTTATAAAACAAACTCATGAGTAAGAATCCCCCTTTCCCCTAAAAAGAAAGCCTTATTTGTCATAGCAAAGAAATGTGGAAGATACGGTTTTTCCAATGTAATTTTTACTTATCTTATCAAACTCATACAATACCCAAAACTTTTTAACTATGCAGTAGTGCCTCATCAAACGAGAACATGAGACTTTGCAGCATCACATGAGCATTTTGCCCTGCCACTCTTACTAAGGACACAAATACATGTCTCAAGAATCTCAAAATCCTCATCCCAGCACAACAAGGTTGCTTTTTCAGGATTCTTCAAAAAGATCTTAGAAGCAAGGAACCCAGCTAATGTCCATGTTTGATAACGCCTAGCTTGTTTTCCAATAAATCTTCTTGTTCGGGTGTCAATATTCAAGCCAAGAATCAACTGGTAGCCTTTTCTCCGCCAAAGCAACTGCTTTCTGAGCTAGTTCATTTCTCCCCATTTTGATGCATGCCAACGTGAAATAAAGATCATGCATGAGCAAACATATTAGATATTAAAGCAAAGTTTATTTGAGAAGATGAGTCTTTTACAATAAGTGTAGAATTAGATATTAAACCAAAAAATGTAGAAACTAGAACAACTAAATATTGGATGGATATTTAGGAAATGACAGAGGGAAAGCCTTGGAGCAGCAGTAATGTTGTTTCTTGTGACCGGAAGTCACGGGTTCAAGTCAGGGAAACAACATATTTGCAAAAAAAGCAAAGGTAAGAAGGCTGTGTACAATCAACCCTCATCCTTTCCCTCGCATGTCTAGGAAACCTTGTGTACCGGGGATTTCCCTTTGTCCTTTATTTAGGAAATGACAAACTTACAATTATGAACAAAGGAGAGGCGAACATTGAAATGAGAGAAGCACAACTCAAGAACCCACAAACATCCGGCGCATTGAACTGTCAGCTATTTGCATGCTTTCCACTAGTATGATCACAAATAAGCCCAAAACTACCAGCAGCAATCCAAGCATTCTCACCTATCAAATGGAAGTTCAGAGTAGCAGAGCTTAGACATGAATCAATGTGTTTTGGGCAATTATCATACTATAATAAGTTTCCAATA